CATTTTAAACAAGTTAGCACTGTTTTAAAAAATCAGTTTTCCAGCCTAACCCTTTTTACTCCATTTCCTTTTTTCTACCTGCCATCAGATGGAAATAAACTTTATCTCACTAATTTGTGTCCATGGAATTGTCTTAGTCTGAAGTACAGAATAATTTCTATGGTAAAGGAAATCAACATTTGAATGTATATTTGTGCCAGATTTTATTATATGATCTTTGATTAATATTCTCTCATGTCATCCCTACAACCAAATAAATAATAACAAGGGAATTAAAAATAATAATTGCAATTGCTAATGTTTAAGTGCTTGGTAGGTGTCACACACTGTTATAAGTGCTGTATGTGTAATAACTTGCCTAATCCCCACAGCATCTCTGTGAGGGAAAGTAGCATTACTCTCCTCTTGCAGGTGAGGAAGCTATGGCCTGAGGGAGTAGGTGACATCCCTAGACTTACAGAGCTGGAAAGAGCCAGAACTGCCTGCCAGACACACTGGTTCCAGAGTCCATGCTCTTTACTGCTGTGTTGCCTCTCTAAGTAGATGTGATTATTCATGTTCATGTTTTTGCAAATACAGAAGTCGAGGACGAGTTCACAGTCACATAACTATTACGGGATATTTTCTGCCCATTGGACCCCACTGTGAACATTTCAGTAACCCAAAGTAACGTAAGAAGTGATGAGATCTCTAAGTGAATAATCTGAGGCATACTTAAATGAGTAAGCAGGGTGTTTTGATTGGAACATTAGTTAAAGGCAGAGAGATTAATTTGTTTTAAGCAGTATGTAGATATAAGTTGTTTTTTAAGCCATGTTCATATCAAGTGTGTATCATACAGCAGGCACTCAATAAATATCATTAGACCAAAAAAGATAATTGGATAATTGACATTCTGAATTTTGCCGTATTATGTTCCCTTCTTTGGCATAATATTCAGTGCAGCAGAATAACAGCAGAAGAATCTGGCTGACTTCTGGATCACTGTATGAAGATTTGACCTAGAGGTAACCCAGCTTTGCCTGAGCCCTCAGTAAGGCCATGTTGTGTAGTAAAGAATTTGGCTAACATTTGTCCCTGTCCTCTGGAAGCAAGCTTCTAATCCTCGGCATTTCCCAAGTGATGGGAGTGTCTGATGAGCCCCTAGATAATGACAGGGTGGAGACTGGTCATGCAGGAAAGACTAACCTGTCACTAGGGTTGGGGTTTTGAACCACATGATACCAGCCCAACCTCTGGGGAAAGGAAGGGGCTTGGAGGTGGAGTTCACTCATGTGGCCAATGATTCGATCAATCATGGCTATGTAATGAGACCCCAGTAAAAACCCTGGACACCAACTCTTGGGAGAGCTCAACTGGTTGGAGGTACAAATTGATACGACATCCTGAAGACATGGAAGCTTAATGTTGGTAACTCTCCTAAACCTTGCCCCATGGTTCTCTTCCCCGGTCCTGATTTTTATTCTTTATAATAGAACTAATGGAAATTATAGTGCTTCTTGAGTTCTGTGAGTTGCTCTAACAAACTGTCAAACCTGAGGGGATGGATAGTGGGAACCCCTTGAATTTGTAACCAGTTGGTAGCAGGTGTGAGTAGCCTAGGAACCTCAGAGACTGCAGCTGGTGTGTCCAGTAAGGGCAGTCTTGTGGAGACTGTGCCTGCGAACCAGCGGAACTTGATCTAGCTCCAGGCAGAAGTACCCTGCAGGCATTATGCTCAACAAATGTTTTCAAGTAATAACTAGTATTCTCTGGACTGTAATCTAAATCTCTTAATTTTCTCAAGTGATTTATCTTAAATCCACTTTACATTTTAGATTCTGCCTTGGTCAAAAATTCTAAGGTTTGACTAGGACAATGGACCAATAATATGTCTTAGCATAATGAAAATATTTATGCACGTCCATATAACATTTGCTCTGTAAACTACAGTCACCAAGTTATCAGGCTATGCATATCATTGCTCAGGACCTTCGTTGTATACTTCCTAATTAAGCACATGACAGTTTTTCCTAATATGTTTGAGCAAAATTTTTTCGTATTTTCACTTCTTTTCATATGTCCGTACTGCGTGTCCTTGTTCTTGCACATTGAGCCAACCATCTTAACCTTTTTAACAAATTGTGTAGCATCACTGATCTGACTGCTCTGTTTTTATTTAACATCATTTATTCCTCCATTCTCACTGAGCCAATATGAGCCAGGCATATAAGATGCTGAGGGTGCAAAAAATCAATTATAACCTTCACTCTTAAGGCACACCCATGGTAGAGAAGATTGCTGTGGAGTCTACTTACAAACACATTACTGCGCCCGGCCTGAGTGGCTCAGCTGGTTGAGCATCACCCTATACACCGAAAGGCTGCTGGTTCAATTACCGGCCAGGGCACAGGCCTGGATTGCAGGCTCAGTCCCTGGCTGTGCACATTGATGTTTCTCTCTTTTAGTGTGTCCTCAGGTGAGAATTTAAAAAATATAAAGTACATATTACTGTGTTGTAGAGTGTCTAATTAAGTTTTCAAAATAATTCCCCGCAGTGGTAGAGATTCTAAAACTTTAATGTGCATATGAATCACCTGAAGATCTTAAAAAGGATTTTAATTCAGTAGGATTGGCTTGGGGCCAGGTATTTTGCTCCAACATGGACCACACTTAAGTCTCAAGGTCTTAGAGAACAAACTCCAGGCATTTTCAATATCAAGACATCTTGAATTATTTGAATAATGTTCTCCTGATTTCCTTCCATTTGCTAACTTCCCATTCTGTGTAACCTAACCTGATTTAAGAGACTCAGAGTTGCTGTCCAAACTGAACAGAGCCGTTTGCACAAGTGAAAAGATTTCTTGAATCGTAGGTGTATAAAAAAATTATTCATTACTTTCTCCATAAATGTTACTTTTTTAAATCTCCATGAAAGTAAGATAAACCCATAATTTCCTACCCGTCACGGTCTGTTGTTTCAATTTCATGGCATGTAGTTAGAATACTTTTTGTGCTGCTCTGTAGTGACGTTATGAAGAAAAGGTTTGCCTCAGTGATTTACCGCTGCCTCAGAAGGACCTGGATTCCAGGGGTCCGGGAGGGAGGATTCTTCAGAGACTTTAATCACAAAGTGTGTTTTACTGAAAAGCTTAATCCCGTGATACCCCCAAATTTCTAAAATATATTTAGACCATTTCAATCAGTTTAATACAATGGGTAAGACTTAAGTAGATAAAACAAAGAAATGTGGATAATGCTTCAGGATGATGATAGAAATGAGACCTTGGAGTCTGATTATTATAGATCTCATTGCAGGCCTCATGGTCCATTTTATCCTGATGCCAGGTACATTGAAAGGAACAAAGAGCAATCAGTTCAGGTATATATTGTGTTTCATTTCTGATTCAACAGAGTATGAGCAGTGGGAATTGATTTTTTTATATGTTCTGAGAAGGTTTATTAATATGTACCTTAATTGTGTAGGTTATTTTTGTCTATATATCCAGACAAGATTCATAAAGGCAGGTAATCATCTTTTCTCTAGTTTCTAACTACGCTTTAATTAAAATAATGTTGGTCTACAATACCTGTGCTAAGCAAAACAAAATAATAAAAATAGAACCGTTTTGCTGTTCATTAAATTAGTCGATTGAAATGTCGACTCATATGAAGGTTAGATCTAACAGGGTGGGCTGAAGCTGAGAGGAATTTTCTGTAATATACCTACATACATGTCCACGGCCAGTTCCAGGCCTACAGGTAGCCTGTCTTTAAACAGCC